CCTAGGTCATCTGATGCCAGCGTCAGCTTTCCTAACTGTTCATAATCCGGCTTCCCTTTCTGTACTGGATTTTCTATTTCTGCCGTAACAGATGACCACAGACGTAATGGCTGGAAACAGCACCCATTTATCAGCTCACAGTTCTGTAGGCCAGAAGTCCAGGCATGATGTAACTGTGTTCTCTGCTCTGTTCTCACAAGGCCAAAGCCAGAGTGTCAATGAGGCCAGTATTTTCATGTCGAACTCGGCCCCCTTCAGGCTCCTGTGGTTCTGGCAGAATTCAGATCTCTGTGGTCATGGGACTGAGGTCCTCCCTTTTCTGCTGGCTGTCTGCTGGAGGCTGCTTTTAGCTCTCAAGGAATGTCACCCGCATTCCTTGCCCTGTGGCCCCCTCCATCTTTAAAGCCAGCAAAGGAGAACCTCCCTCTGTCTAATTCCTCTAATAATTTGAATCGCCTACTTCAGGAAAAGCCCGGTCCTTTCTAACAGCATGTGATTGGGTCAAGCTCACCCCAGGTGAACTTCCTTTCTTAAAGTCCTCTCTGCCGTATGGCGTGCCCCAGTCACGTTAGTGAGGATTTCCTGGGGTTCCTCAGGGAGTGTGTACCAGGGGCAGGAATCTCCAGACTGTCTTGGAATTCCACTTACTTACAAACGCCTTCTCTGTCCCCAGCATGTATTCTGGCTTACATTCAAGTGCAACACCTTGAATGCTCCCTGCTAACCCCAAGGGGCCTTGAGGGGATTGGGGCAGCCTATTTACCAACCTGTTTGGAGCATTTTTCTGTGAGTACAGTCATATATATTCCCATCGAAGAGTACAGCTATCTCCGAGTGAGACGTGAGCACGTCCTCCTCCATTCCTCTCCCTCCGATTTTCTCCTGTGTTCCAAAGCTCAGGGAATGTACATTTTGATCCAGCATGCATGAGAGAGAAAGTAGGAAGTTGATGTAGATGTTTGTGACCACAAATAGGGAGACTGAGTCTGAGAAAAGACTTCCAGCCCAGTGGTCTCTCCAGGAAGCCCTGCTGACCCCCAAGTGAGGCTCCTACCAAGTTGCTGTGGCCCCGACCCCTGACATTCTAGACCATGTCATGACATGGAGTTTTCCTCCCCGTGGGTAGGTGATGTTTGGCATTCTTAATCCAGAGGTCTATCTAAATGGTTGTCAGAGTCGCTAATGCATCATCTGAAATACAACTTCCTTTGATTTTTGCCTCTTTTGAGTCTTCCTCCACTTGTGTTTTTCCATCAAAGGGATTAAACCCCTTTGCTGGACTTGAAGCTCTGTCTTTTCCAACAGCTTTCGTCATGTCTCAGCACAGCTTCCCATCCACAGACACAGGAGAGGATGGGAGAAGAGCAGTAACAGGCTTGATGAGGCTTAATAGGATTTGCTCAAGTCAGAGCCTTTCCTTGGTCCTGCAGAGAGTAGCTAGGAGACGGCTTGCCTGGGTCTTGCATTCCTCCCTGTCTTTCCTCTACAGACAGTTCTGCAAAAACCCTAGCTTCGAAGAGGCAATGCTAAAATATCAACTATGGGAGGGCTGGCTCTGCATCTATCTTCTTCACTGCTTTATGTCCAGCTCCTAGCACTGGGGCTTGACTATAGTAGTTCCTCAATTAATGTGTGCTGAATGAGTGCATAATTAATAGAACGGATATTGAAAATCTGATTAAAGAACATCATCTCCATTGTCCCTGAAAATCCTTTTGACTTGATAGGCACAGAGCACTGAAGGCCAGGGCTTCAAGGCTGGTCATTTTACTTACCCTTAAAAGAAATCTGAACAGCAGGGGCTCCATGCCACTCAGCTCAATGTTTGCCCTGCAAATTGCCCACTGGCCCTTTAGCTACCTGTTTTAGATATTCCCTACCTCTCTTTCTTCATATTTAAAATGGGGTTAACAGGATATTGCATTAAATTTCAATTTGAGGAGAGATTATGCACACATGTTCATCTATACTTATGTTTGTATTATGTATTTTTTCCATGAGTCCCTACAATTGGCCCCCAGGGCTGGAGAGGCAGAGAATATTATCTGGGATTTATAGCAGAGAAAACTGAGACAAAGGACCTTAAGACTGTTTTTTCTTTGGACCACAAAGCAGGTTTTTTGGACACTGAGTTCGAATCCAAATGTTACTCTGGGTTGAACAAGGAATGATGTCTGCCAATGGTGCCCGCACACAGGAATGCATCCCAATGTCACATCAAAAGTAAACTACCTTTCCTACCTCCTCGACGAACAAGTGTTCGTATCTGGGCTGAAATGTTCTAGAACACATTTTCCCATTTCTAGTAGAGCACAAAGCCTTCGCCTACAAGAATGTATGCAAGTATGTTTAAAAATAAAGAGGGAAACAGTGCAGAAAATCAGCAGCAAGCTGTTTTCCCCAAAGAGCTGAGCACAGGAGGATATGAGTTCCCATGTGCCCCTGCTGATGACTCATTCCTGTGGGCACCGTGCCTTCCCTGCCCAAGCTCAGTGGCCCGGGGAGTCCGCAGCAGCAGCACCCCCGTTGGAACCCTATCTTGGTTCCAGCAGCTGGGGCGTCCGGAATACACAGGGCCTTGGGACCGCAGCATTTCCCACCATCTCTGAGCATCTGTGTTCGGGTTTTCAGGATGAAGTCTCCCACTTAAGGCAGAGCAAATTCCTCCTTGGGATTTTGCAAAGAAGCCCCAAGCCTTTTCCTCCTTGTCTCATTTATCTTTGTTAACTGCCACATGAAGGAGCAGGGAGCAGGGAGCAGGTGGCCCTATGCAGAAGAGGAAATGGCCAATGGACATCTGGGACAAATAGCCCTTCAGATGACCCTTCCATATGATGTTTTAAAGGTTACCTTGAAATTGCTACAACCACCCAGGCAGCATAGGAAAAGGCCCGTCAGGGTCCCCTGACTTCCCAGGACATGTGGAGCCTACCTTGGTTTGCCATTGAGGCAGCTGGTTGAGTGGTTGTCAGACCTTTTACCAGATTGTGCTATGGGGACATAGCTTCCTGGTATGGTGTTTTGCCTGGCAGAGCCTGCAGCTGGAGTCACCCCCAGAATGGTGGCAGGGGAACGCCTGCAAGGGACTCCTCAAACCATCTGCAAATGGGGTCAGTTGAGAAGGCACTAAACACCAAAGCACGTATTAGGGGAACTTACATGGGGAGTGCTGCAGCGGTCCTGATGACTCCTGCATGTCATGAGGTCCTCATGACTCCTGCAGAGCCAAAGAGAGGCTCTGCTTAGCAATGTCTGCAAAAAGGGCTCTGGGTTACGGAGTGATTTGGCCTAAGGTCAGGCTAATCCCTATATGTTTCGCAACATATTTGAACTTTCAGTATTTCAGGTAACAACCTAAGCAGGGTTTCAGTGCCTGGGACTCTTTCCAGGGCTCAGGCCTGCAGGGAAAGACATGAAACTGGCCAGGTGACAGAGCAGTCTTGGCATCTGATGTCTCTCAATCAGGACAGATAAGTAAGTGGGGGTTCCTGGGGGAGCCCATACCTGGGAAGGAGGGTACCTATGCATTCAAGGAAAGCTTGCTTATAAAGAGGAAGAAAGGCTGATGGATAGCATCCCTAAGGTGACGTTTCCCAAGGCCAGAAGCTCATAGAACTTTCTGGAGGGAGCAGGTCATCAGCCTAGGCATAAGCATCAGTGTCTGATGGCAGTTGTGTGGTGAGTGACATGCGTGGGCTCTCAGGCTGCAGCCAGATAAACCTGGACCCAAAACCTCCCCTGGCCACACGCCACGTGAGCTTCATTCTTCTCTTCTGAAAAAATGAAGGAATATAATAGTATTTATCAAATCATATTGTGAGGATTAAATCAGCTAATGAATAAAAATTTCCTAGTGCAGTACCTGGCTTATGAGTGCCCAGAAATGTGGTCTGTTATTGTTAATTAAAGAAGCCTTTCCTAACTGCATGAGCGTCTCAAGGCGTGTTAAAGGGGTTTTGAGCGAAACATCAGACACCTGTATTGCAGTGTCTGGGTGTCTCCTGGAAGTGTGGCAGGTACCCCCAAAACATGTTATGCCCTTTGAAGAGTCTTGGGGGCATTCACATCCTGTCCATTTCAATTTCTTAAAGGACAGAGAATAACAAAATCAAATTTTCTAATGGTGGGACTACACAGCAAGTTGTTGTTTTAACGAGTGTTCAGAGGGCCTCAGAGTTCATACTCAGACGACAGGAGAGACCAGTTGACAAATCAGACACACGCGCCTTTTCCTTTCTATTTGCTGCTAAAAGACCTCAAGATAAATGGAGTCAGCAGGAAATGCAAGAAACAGCACAGGCTTGGGCCAGACGAGCAGGAATCCAGATATCAGCTCTGCCTGATATTTGGTGACCTGGGTGTCACTTAGCCTCTTTGGAACCCTGTTTTCTTACTTATCCATCCAACTATTTAATTCGTACTTTTAAAACATATATGTGCCAGGCTATGTTCTAAGTGCTTGGAATATCAGAGAACAAAACGAACACAGACACATGCCCCTGTGGAGCCTACGTTCTGTGGGTGGGAGAGAGACTGTCAGAATTAAGCCTGATCCATAAGCAAACAATATAGTGTTTATATAATGGGGATCCCAATATCTAATGCCAGTGAGTTGCTGTGGCGATAAGAAGACAACATGTAATGCATGCGACATTGTAGGCATTTAATAAACTGTTGTGATTATTCTTTTTAAAATTGCTCCCAGAGTTATCAAGTCCTTTAAATACTTAACGTGTAGCTTGCATCTAGGTATTGTTCATCTATTCATTCAACAAACAGCAATTGAGCATCTACTATGTTCTAGACTCTGTACTAGGCACCAGGGATACAAAAGAACCCTATAAGAGAGTGCAGCCCCCGCCTTTGTGGATTTCACACTCTGACCCCTAGATAGCAGAGGAGAAGCCAGGGAGAGCCCTGGGGTGGGGGCCACCTTCCATCTTGGATTCTAGTGAATCAGAACAGCCCAGTTCACTGACGGTGTCTTTTTTAACTCATAGCATCCCAGCTATGGCTGGCGATTCTAGGAATGCCATGAACCAGGGCATGGAGATTGGAGTTACTCCCTGGGACCCCAAGAAGATTCCCAAACAGGCCCGCGATTACCTCCCCATTGCCACAGACCGCACACGCCTGCTGGCCGAGGGCAAGAAGCCGCGCCAGCGCTACATGGAGAAAAGCGGCAAGTGCAACGTGCACCACGGCAACGTGCAGGAGACCTACCGGTACCTGAGCGACCTTTTCACCACCCTGGTGGACCTCAAGTGGCGCTTCAACCTGCTCGTCTTCACCATGGTTTACACTGTCACCTGGCTGTTCTTCGGCTTCATTTGGTGGCTCATTGCTTATATCCGGGGCGACCTGGACCACGTTGGCGACCGAGAGTGGATTCCTTGCGTTGAAAACCTCAGTGGCTTCGTGTCCGCTTTCCTGTTCTCCATTGAGACCGAAACGACCATTGGGTACGGCTTCCGAGTCATCACTGAGAAGTGCCCAGAGGGGATCATACTCCTGTTGGTTCAGGCCATCCTGGGCTCCATCGTCAATGCCTTCATGGTGGGGTGCATGTTTGTCAAGATCAGCCAGCCCAAGAAGAGAGCGGAGACCCTCATGTTTTCCAACAACGCGGTCATCTCCATGCGGGACGAGAAGCTGTGCCTCATGTTCCGGGTGGGTGACCTCCGCAACTCCCACATAGTGGAGGCCTCCATCCGCGCCAAGCTCATCAAGTCCCGGCAGACCAAAGAGGGGGAGTTCATCCCCCTGAACCAGACCGACATCAACGTGGGCTTCGACACGGGCGACGACCGCCTCTTCCTGGTGTCTCCCCTCATCATCTCCCATGAGATCAACGAGAAGAGCCCTTTCTGGGAGATGTCTCAGGCTCAGCTGCATCAGGAGGAGTTCGAAGTCGTGGTCATTCTAGAAGGGATGGTGGAAGCCACAGGTAAGATGATTTGTTCTCCTCAGCTACAGATGGTCCTACCCACACTCTGACTTAGCTACTGTGACTCTAGAAGATGCAGGCCTGTGCCTGAGCATCCTGGGGTGTCACAGGCAGCAGGTTCAATCCCTAAAGTGTTAGCTACTCAAGAGAGCTAATGCTGACAGGACCTTCCCAACTGCAGGCACTGTCCTAAACCATAAACATCTATTATCTGGCCGAATGTCCTTCCACGCCCTAGGATAGTTTTTATTAAGGTACAGATAAAGAAGCAGGGACACAGACAGGCTAAATTATTTTCCCAAGAGCAAGCGCTTTCAAGTGAGAATCAGGGTGGAAATCAAGGCAGGGGACCCCAGAGCCAGGGCTTGGTTCCAACAGGCCAAACTGCCGCTTCTTGGAACAGGTGTTCTACCCAGAAGAGCTCGCTGGTCAGATGGGTAATCTGGTCTTCTGTTAATCATAGAGCAAAACAAAAGCGATCTGGTTTCTTTACAGTGGACTTCCCTCTGTCCTTACACACTGAGTCTCATCACTGGGAAAGGAGGGGATGCAGAGTTTCCTAAACTAATAAGGGTTCTCACCAATCCTTTACTTGGAGAGGCCTTTGCTGCAGGGGAGTGGCTCTTCAGGCTGGGCCCCCTCTGGAGCAGCCAGCCCTCAACGTTCGTACAGGAGGTTGTCGTAGTAAACCCAGGGCAAGGCTCCTTTCTCACACCCGCCCCCAAAAAAACAGTGCATCCATGCTAAGGCATCAACAGCCACGTATGCCCAAGAAAATGCCCTCTTTGTGGCCAGCATGGCACCTCCCTGCTCAGCTCCTGACTCAACAGTAGCTGGTAGCCAAGGACCCCCCATTCCTCAGCCACTCGGCCATGGTAGACCTCTGTGAGATAGCTCCAGGGAGCCCAAGGCCTGGGGGCACCTGAGCTCTGGCTGAGGACCCTAGTCCCCTCCCCACCCAACATCCTGCTTATTTCATTTCTGTCTCTGTCTCGTGCCTTCTTCTCTCTCTCTCTCTCTCTCTCTCTTTCGCCCTCTCTTGCCAAGTACAATGAGCAGCTGGTCAGGCCCTACGATGGGTTTTAGAACTCAGTCACGCTCAGAAGGTGCTTGTCTATTTTTCTAATTCTTGCAAACAACGATGTAGGGCTGGCTTCAGGCTCATTTTACAGATGTAGAAGCTGAACTTTAAAAGCATTGTGTTCATACTCAGCTCTTCCACGTATAAATCTGGAGATTCTCTCACCACTCTGGCCCCCTAAAACACTAGGGTCCTGTCAGAAAGATGGCCAAGCACACCTTGCAGCCCCCAGGAAGCTGGCTGCCAGGCAGGGGTCTCAGACCCGGCCTCCACAAGCCTTCCCATTTTGAAGTCGGTGGAAGCAGGAGAGAGTAATGACACGCTCTGGGGACTGGTGCCAGAGGGGGCTGCTCGGCCATCTGCTGGGGGCTGGAGCCTGGCAGGCAGCATATGGTGGCAGGCGGGCAGCCCCTAGGGCCGGGGACAGTCAGGACACCGGAGGCTTTTCCCTGCAGAGCTAGGGGCTGGCAGGTCACCCTGTCCTTGGCTCCAGGGTCCGAATGAGGACACAGGCTGCATTTCAGGGGAAGAGCTCCACTCTGAAGCCACAAGAAAAGGACTGTGTGAGAGACAAGCAGACAAATCATACCATTCCTGACCGCTCCCCAAGGCTGCCCTCACTCCCCAGCCACACAGCAGGAAGAGCACCCACAGGCTCACAGTGGAGGCAGCCGGTGCTATCCGCCCCGCTGGACCCGCAACCATACCTCCCTCAAAGTCAGGGGCCCACAGTCCATTGTCCTCATGGTTTGGCCTCCTCCCCTCTCACAACCTGAGCTATGCTTGCTCTGTCCCAGAAACTGTAGGGGAGACCTGGGGAGATAGGGCAGGAGACCCTGTACACATCTGTCCTGGATGTGGATGGCTTGGTTCTCAGGCACATGCAGCCAGGTGTGGGCTGGGAGTCCATGCCTTGGCTTGGACACAGGTCTGCGGTATCCGTCCTGAGCGGGGCTGAGCAAGCTGCTTACCTTGTCAGCAAAGTGAGGAAAATCAATCTCCTCGGGCAGCTGGGAGGATTCAAGGTGAAAAGGAGCACCCTGTGCTGAGCACTGTACCTGCCACCTGGAGAATCCTTTCCAAATGCACTGAGAAATGACACGGACACAGCAGGATCTCTAGCGAAAGGACAGCTGCTGCCATACCCCACGAGCAGCAGGAGGAGCCCAAAGAGGCTTAGCCCAAAGGGCCAAGGTCCTGCCCACGCCTTTACCAAGGCCCTGGGAGCCTGCAGACATCTGGCATGGTCTAGGCTGCTTTGGGCCTCTCTGCTGAGATTGTGGGGGCAACAAGAGTGGGGACTGAAGGGAGGGGTCCAGGCAGGCATCCCCAAGAACAGAGAGCAGGCTGTGAGCCCATCTGTGTGGGTGCGCTGGGGCTGAGAAGCAGCCTTGGACCTGGGTCTGGTTTGTTTGAGCCCCCCGAGAAAGCCCAAAGTGGGAGGCTGAGATGGGTGCCTTTAGCACCCAACCAGCACAGTTAATGCCTTCCTCGGCCAGAAGATTAAATATCAGAAAGCTGCTTTCCTGTGACCCTAAGCACAGAGGCCTCCTCATCCATAAACAAAGCTTCCCTCCCTCTCTGGAGAGAAAGCAACACCTAAAAATAGCACAGGCATGGCACGGACTGAGTAGACAGGGAAACAAGGCATTGGAGCAGCCTCAAATCAAGAAGCCAAGCTTTGTGTGTGTGTGTCTGCTCCTCTTACCATGTGTATGTGTGTGTGTGTATGCATGTGAGCGTGGAGCCCTCTCTCCATATGTGTCTACCCAAAACAATCTCCATATGTTCCAAATGCCTGTCAGCTTCTCTATGTTCGTTCATGCTTAATTTACCTTTGCCCTTTCCTGCCTTTCTTCCCATCTCAATCTTCTCGAAGTGAATGCTGTTTTCAGGAACCAAGTCCCTGCCTTCAACCATTCCAACATCTATTCACTCCAGTCTCTAGGAAACGACTTCCAGAATCTTGCATGTTGATTACTAATTTTCTGCCACCACCATGCCTTGAAATGCCCAGGGAAAGGACTGTGTCTTATTCAGCTTTACATCTCCACTGTGCTTAGCACAAAGTAGATGTTTGAGAAATGCTTGATGAATGATTGGATGAATGAAGGGATGCATGAAGGTATGGATGATTGATAGATAGATGGATGGATGATGATTGGATGGACAGGTAATTGGGTAGATGAGTGGATGGATAGATGGGTGATAGGATAGATGATTGGATGAATAGATGAATAAATAATTGGATGGATAGATGGATGATTGGATGGATGGATGGATGGATGGATGGATTTATGATTGGTTGGATGGATGGCTGGCTGGCTGGATGGATGATTGGATAGATGATTGGGTGGATGATTGTATGTATGTAGGTAGGTAGGTATAAATGGATGGGTAAATGGGTGGGTGGGTGGTGGGTGGATGGATGGATGGATGGATAGATGATTGGATAAATAGATGGATGGATGAATGGATAGATGGATGATTGCATTGTAATGCATATAACTTCTGTATCCCCAGGGATGACCTGCCAAGCCAGGAGCTCCTACATGGATACAGAGGTGCTCTGGGGCCACCGATTCACACCAGTCCTCACCTTGGAAAAGGGTTTCTATGAGGTGGACTACAACACCTTCCACGACACCTATGAGACCAACACACCCAGCTGCTGTGCCAAGGAGCTGGCCGAAATGAAGCGGGAAGGCCGGCTCCTCCAGTACCTCCCCAGCCCCCCACTGCTGGGGGGCTGTGCTGAGGCAGGGGTGGATGCAGGGGCTGAGCAGAATGAGGAAGATGAGCCCAAGAGGCTGGGTGGGTCCAGGGAGGCCAGGGGCTCAGTGTGAGAGCTGCAGCCTCCCTAAGACCTCATGTCACTGGCTTCAGTGAGCACAGACAGTGCAGAGCCTGAGGGCAGGGGAGAGGAATAGTTGAGTGCACTGTTTGGGGGCTCAGAGGCCATCAAGGCTGTGGGGAGGAACCATATATTCAGCCCTCACAGCTCCCAGCACAGGGCCTCCCTGAGCCAATGGCATCCTGTCTGGGCCCCCCATGGCAGTGCTGCCTCCTGAGGTTGCTGGCTAAGGCCAGGCCAGGATGAGTTTCCCCATAGTGAATGTTGCAGGGTGGTGTCTATTCTCTGTCTGCCCTGGGTCACTGCCTTTTTTGAGTCTCACAGAGCCCTCCAGCAGCTGACACCTAGAGAAGGCCGCCATCTTGTCCCCTCATTCCTTCCACCCTGAAGCTTGCTGTGGATTCAGAGAGGAACCTTGCCTGATGGAAGCTCAAACCTCCAGTCTGGGATGAGTTCACAGAGCCCCCATGGGTAAAGGTCCATCTGTGTCACGTAGGCAATTCCTTTTAAATCAGATACCGACGACCCGTGACTGAGAGCTACGGAGCGTACAGCCCTTGGTATTCTCTGCTGTTATCTGCCAAGTGTGTGTGTTTTTCCTCTGCTGTGTTCTGTGTGTTCAATGTAGCCTATTGAAGAATCGATCTCATTAGAGTGACTCTTAGAAGGTGGCCTGGGACTAGACAGCCCCTCTGAGCACATGCGTAGTGGCATCAGCAGCTTCCTGGCCTACTCCCAATCACACTGTACCCTGCACCTCCCACCAAAGGGGAACCCCAGCAGCTGGGGTTTTTCTAGTTCTTTTTGGCCCAAGAATCTCAGAGTGCTTCTAATCATCACAGTAGTTTTTTTTGTTGTTCTTTGTTTTTTGTTTTGTTTTATTTTGTTTACAATCTCAGCGAACATGTGGTGTGACCTGGGGAGAGAGCTGAGTGTCAGGGGGCACAATAAGCCAGGTGGCTCTGAAACAGGGAGCATTTTAAAATCAGCATCTGTCCCCAGTTGTGGCCCAGACACTCTGACCTCAAGGCTCAGCACTTTTGCCATCAAGGCAGATGACGGGATGTAAATCAAAAGCAACAGGTGATTGCAGTGACAGCTTCACCACCAAGCCCAGCCTGGACTAAACTCCCAGCCTCGTGCTGAAGAGCCCCAGGGCCTCCCTCCTCAGGCAGGGTTACAACCGGGAGGGTGGGGTAGGGAGGGCAGGGAGGATGTCCTGGGGAAGGCAACGGGAGTGGCTGCTCCTCCACCCCCAGGCTGGAAACAAGAGGGCAAGGGGGGTCAGCGGGAGACTTACGGCGTGGATTGAGTATTAGGAGGAAAAAAGTAGAGAAGAGTCTGAAAATCAGCAACTTCAGTGGCTTTTCTGATCTGGAGGTCCAGGAAGAGCGAGGGTGGAACGGGGCAGATTGTCAGGTACCGAAACAGGCTGGCCTGACTTGGAGAGAGAGTGCCCATGTTCCTAGGCCACAGAAGTATGAAGGCCTCACCCAGTCTCCAAAGCTCTCAAATGGCCTTTGAGAATGGAAGTCTTTCCCTGCCCTGGACATGTCGCTCCTCCCTGGGAGAGGAGCAGAGCCACAGAGAAGTAGGAAGTTGAGACAGAGCAAAGGGAAGGCTTCAGAGCTCAGGCCGGGTTCATCTCAGGCGGGATTTCTAGGTCTGGGGCTGGAAGGAAGGGGAGCAGGGCAGCCTGGGACAGTGACTGCCTCTGTGGGCTGCTCAGTCCCAGGGAGGGGCTCTGTGGGCTTCGCTCCTGGGCTGGATCTTGAGAGGTGGGCAGGGTGCCATGGCCATGTGAGGTCTTCCCACCAGTGGCAGGGCGTGGGGTCGTGGTCCCAGGTATCCTTCAGGGGGAAGAAGGCCTTGGAGGAAATGGGGAATGGGCTGGCACCCCACTCAAGGGAAGAGGAAGCAGACAGTGCCCCAGCAGGGGAGTTGTGTGCCCCCAGGAGTCTCGGGCAGGGAGTCCTTCACTAAGGCTGGGTGCCTTTCAGAGGAGCTATAGCTGGAACCCTCTGGCTGGGCCCAGCGCTCGCCCAGGGCTCCCCGGACCCCAGGGTTACTAACAGGAAAACCATTCCACACCCCCTTGCAGGATCTAAGTCTGTCTTTGGACCAGTCAGTCCCCCCAGGTTAAAGCCCATGACGGGGTCAACTAAGCAAGGGAGGGAAGGTGAAGGCAAAGGCAGCCTGGCACCTGGATAGCGACCTGGCTCCTCCCCACACCTGCCTTCATTTATGACTCTGAAACATCCCCCACCTGACCAAGGGAGCCATTCTCTAGTTCTCTCACTCCATCAGGGCCCTCTGTGAGCCAGGACCAAGTCACACCTCTCAGCCACGTCTAGAAGCTCTGGGTAGAGGAAAGGAAGTGTGCAGAGGGTCCTATGCCAAAGCTCCCTGCCTGGCCTGAGCCTGGGCATACTGGCATTAGTGCAGCCCGGCCCCAGTGTGCCTCCTCTGCCTTCTACCATGGCAATTTAAAAGGAAGAAGACCCACTTCACATTCCGAGGAAATCCTCTTCTGGGTGACCAGTTGATCCAATGAAAGTTTGAAAAGTTCTTCCTTTTCTAGAAGTTCTTGAATAAACACAGACTTACTAAATGCAAAGTCTGATGATGGACAGTTTCAAGGGGTCGCTTTCAAAACAATTAATTTATTTATGTAGAGACATGGTCTCACTCTGTCTCCCAGGCTGACGCGCAGTGGTACAACCTCCGCTCACTGCAACCTCTGTCACCTCCGAGGTTCAAGGGATTCTCATGCTTCAGCCTTCCAAGTAGCTGGGATTACAGGCGTGAGCCACTGCTTCCGGCCATTTTCCAAACATTGCTCCTGCATACAAACCACTCAGAGGCCATAGCCCTTGGTTCTGTGATGGCTCTGAGCCCACGCCATCACATCTGATGGACCCCAGAGAGCTGAGCCCCGCTTTAAGATGGGGTCGTGCACTCACTGGTCATTCCCACAGTCTTCAGTATCTCCAAAATCCCAAAGTGATATTTGACTTTCAGACACTGAACGTTTGGAGAGCTGGTTTCTTGCCTTAATTTAAGCCCTCTGAGAATGTCCGCTGTAAGGGAGAAGCCTCCAGGAACTCAGAGAGAACTCGTTCCCACTCATTTTCCTGCTCCACCAATCTGACATCTTACAGATGCTGTCACCAGTGCTGGAAGGATCATGTCCCCAGGCCAAGGCAGAATGAGCACTGCCCATGACTCTCCCCTTCAGACTCCATGCCCGCTGGCCTCCTGTGTAGTCAGCGAGCCACTGCCCATCACCTCCTGCTGCTGCTTTGAGGTTGGGGTCCTGGCTTGAGCAATTACCTTGCTGGAGGAGAGGACCTCCTGCTGTCTGGGGAGCACCATCCCTGCTCATGATCTGTAACAGTGGAGTGCCTTTTTCACACCCCTTATCTCATGGCTTGCCTTCCAGCCCCGCTCAATCCTGTACCTCATATGAGGTGAGTCCCAGAGAAACTTAAATTGCTTGTACTGCAGTTGCCAAAAACCAAACGTTGCCCATTGTCTTTTGAGGCCGTGCCCTGAAAACACCTCGGCCGAGCACCACTGAGCACGTGTTAGATGCCTGCCATGGGTCAGACACTTGATTCTCAAAACACTGCTGAGAAGCTCTTAGTAACCCCTTACCAATGGGACAGTTGAGGCTCAGAGAGGTTTATGAGCTTCCCAAGGCCACAGGTAGTAATGTGAGGCAGGGTCTCGGTGCCCAGTGCCTCCCAAACAAACAGCAGGGGCCATGATCCTGCCCAAACTCTTGTGCCCATGGCTCCTTGCTGGGCCTGGGCAAGAGAGATCAGGAGAGCCCTGGCTCTCGGGGTGGCATCGCAGGCTGTACCGTAGAGTCCCAGCTTCCACGCACAATGTGCCCCTGTGGTGGGAAAATTGGGAAACAACTTTCTCTGATTCCCAGAGAACTAATGAGCTGCAAAAAGAGATTAGACAGGGAAGAATTGCTTTCGGGGAGAAGCCACTTATCGGCTTGCCTTGGTTTCTGCTAACAACGTCTCCTTAAACTGCTGTCAAATCTTTTCCTCCCTGTGTAGGCTTCATCAATCTTCTTATGAAAAAGAGTACCACTGCAGCAGTAAAAATTCACTCAATAAAATGGACTTGACCTTGCAGAACTCCTTCTCATTTTAAACAGACGGCCACCAGTTTCCCGTTTAGACTCATTGCCAGTTTTAGAAACCTTGTTTTTCTTGGTTTTGTTAGCCTAAAAATGTAGTATCAACATCTAGACTGGTTTCAAGGTGGAAGAATGGGCAAAGGTGGGGTGGAGACGGCCGGACGGGGGCAGCTGCACCAGGTGTTTGGAGGTAGAGTTGGTGACAGATGTGGGGGGTGCGGGCAGTGTGGCTTCTCACATTAAGTCATTCGTTCCAGCCCCAAATACCTTGTGTACATTCTTTAATGTCAAATACTCAGAACCCACATTACCTACATAATGAGTAACTTTAAAAATATCTACTTTAGGGGGCTACTGGACTAGCATTCTGCTTTCGGGGCATAAATTTGCAAAACGATTGCTCTTGCTGAACAGTAGGGAGGGGGCAGAGGAGGCTGTGATACCTCATGGTGGCGAAGGATCTCAGGATCTTTCAAGAGAAGTCCCAAAGTTTCCGTTGAAAATGTCCTTAGCAGTAGAGGATGTGATATTGGCTTCTCTTCTGCTCTGGTCACCCAGTGGTAATATTGAAGAGCTAAAATTTACTGAAAATCCCTCATGGACACCATCCTGAAAGGATAAGGGGGATCACCAGGGCTCTGGTTCAAAATGAGAGGCAGTGTTTTCAGTTGGGAAAGGCAGCACAGCCCTGATGTGTGTGGCGGTGTTTCCCTTGCCCCATGGCCCACCCACGGTAATCGGGCATCGGTGAATCTGTGCTTGGAACTTGGGCCAAAAGCACATGCTGAGCCTCAGACTCAGCCATGAACAAGAGTATCTGGTGACACTGAGGGTGAATTGCCTTCACGGTGGGAAAGACCCACACAAAGGCAAGATAGGAGCTCTGGGGATGGCCCTTGCCTGGGGATGGGTACATTTACTTACTGTTCAGTGTCAGAATGGAGACATGAGTTCAGGGGAAACGGTGAATCTGTGAATTTGCACATTTGCCAGTCAAGCTCAGATTGCAATTTGAGGAAGGAGAACTAGACACACAATCTAATAAAAGCAACAATCTGAATGTTACCGTTAGAAAACTCACCCGGGCCCAGAAGATGCGCTCTGCTGGTCCCAGTCAGAAGACCGACACCGATGCACGCACAGCAGATATCTCCTTAGGCCTTGTTAGATCCCAGCCATAAAGTGTGCTGACTTTCTTATGGTAAATAAATGTCTAGGAAGAAGTTCTGAAAACAGAAACATTGCTGACTTCTTCTCAAGTGAGTGTTTACATTGATTCAGAAGCTGCTATTCAAATAACCTTGGCTCACTTGGTGGAGGCAAAAATCTTAAATTCCAGAGGAGAAATTACTGAGAATTTGGGCACATTAACATATACTTTGAGCTTCATTTTTCTACCAAGTAAGCAAAAGCGTAAGCGGAGCCATCCTCGGCTGCGCTGGGCGAGTCTGCAGCAGTGAGCGAGGAGGTGACGTACAGAGGCACTGAGAACTCCTGTGTGCACCCACTGGATGCCACATTCCAAATTGCCTCTCTTTTTTGAGACAGAGTCTCGCTCTGTTGCCAAGGCTGGAGTGCAATGGTGTAGTCTCAGCTCACTGAAACCCCTGCCTCCCAAGTTCAGGTGATTCTCCTGCCTCAGCCTCCCAAGTAGCTGGAATTACAGGCACCTGCCACCACACCAGGCTAACTTTTGTATTTTTAATGGAGATGGGGTTTCCCCACGTTGGCCAGGCTGGTCTTGAGCTCCTGACCTCAAGTAATCCACCCGCCTCGTCCTCCCAACATGCTGGGATTACAGGTATGAGCCACCATGCCCAGCCCCCAAATCACCTCTTAAACATGCTCATGAAAGAGACTGCAGCCAGCCCTGTGTGATATGAAGCTGCAAGGCAGTGATCGTTTCCTCACTTCACTGTGTAGTTACCTGGGGAAGTGGGCAGACATGACCAATCAGGAATGCACTCACCTTCTCTCTTCCTACAGAGGCGACCCTGCTTGCTCTGGTTCATGGAAACAGCTAGGAAAAGAGGAAGCACATTTGCTGAACTCAGACTGTGCCCTGATGGATAAGAATGTGGCTGTTCAATCTCCTGGTGTCTTTCCCATTCAGTAATTGCACTGGGAGAGGCTTACACTCCTTCTCTTCAGATTAAGCACTCCATGAACACACCCTATCTTCGTATATAAGATAAAATCCTTCACGCCTGTAATTCCAGCACCTTGGGAGGCCGAGGCAGGCAGATCACAAGGTCAAGAGATCGAGACCATCCTGGCCAATATGGTGAAACCCCATCTCTACTAAAAATACAAAAAATTAGTTGGATGTGGTGGCGTGCGCCTGTAGTCCCAGCTACTCGGGAAGCTGAGGCAGAAGAATTGCTTGAACCTGGGAGGCTAAGTTTGCAGTGAGCTGAGATCATGCCACTGCACTCCAGCCTGGTGCCTGGCGATGAAGTGAGACTCTGTCTCAAAAAAAAAAAAAAATCCTGCTGGGAAGCCACTCGTGTTTGTGTCTCCCAGAACCCACAGCAGCAGCAGAGCCTGGGCATTAGTCCGGGAGCTGATCATCCTGATCATTTCCTTTGAAATTGGTGGATCTTTGCAGGGCATTCCAACAACCATCTCATTGTGATAAAGGATTAAAATGACACCTCGGAAAACACAGAGCCAACTCCACGCAGGGGCCAAAGGGTATCTGTCTCTTCATTACTTCAATTTTCCCACATATCCATTATTCAGCAAATATTTAGTGAGCACCTACTATGTACCCAGAGCAGAAACAGACACTGCAAACTCAGTGGTGATCAAGACTGTCTTAGTCCACTGGGACTGCATTATAAAAATACCTTAGCGTGGGTAATTTCTAAAGAACAGAGGCTTCCTGCTCACAGTTCTGAGGGCTGGGAATGCCAAGATCAAGGTCAGGCCGCCAGCAGATCAGGTATCTGGTAAGGGCCTGTTCCTTGCAGATGGTACCTTCCAGGTGTCCTTAGTTGGTGAAACAGGCTCCCTGAAGCCTCTTTCATGAGGGCACTCATCCATCATGAGGATCCACTCTCATGAGCTCATCACCACCCAAAAGCCCTGCTTCCTAACGTCATCACCTTAGGGGCTAGATTTCAAAAAAGGAATTTTAAGGGAAGATAAATATTTAGACCATAGCAGAGTTGATATGGTCTCTTGCCCTGGTGAAATTTGCTGTCTGGTGGGGAGGGAGAGGCAGAGACAGAAAAAGTACACAAATCAAAGAATCACGGTTCACAATAAGGGCTACGCGGGAAACAAACAGGGGGCTGAGGTCAAGATCGGCAGGGCTGCCTCTGGGGAGGCTCTGAGGGGGTCTGGGAGCTGGGTCTTGAAACAGAAGCAGGAATGAGCTCCTCTGGTAAGGGTTCTGGGGGAACAGCTGTGTGCAAATGTCCTGGGAGTGGAAGGGGCAGCTGTATCCAAAGAACTGGAAAAAGCCCAGGGAGGCAGCAGCCCTGGGGAAGGGGGAGCAGGGAGTTGGCCCAAGCCTGGCTGGGAGCTAGGGCTGACAGTTCAGATCTCATGGCAGGTTCTGGGGAGAGCGCAGCAGGGGCTTATGGGGGTTACCCGCTATGAGTTCACCCTGCGATGGTGTGGCCTTTCCTCTCTCCTGGGTGTCACGGGTCATTAGCCACATTGGGGCACGATCTGAGCAGCTCTATCGGGCTGTACTCAACCCTGCCCTTTAAGGACTAAAAGTCACAGGTCAATCTAGGTTCTTTTCATAAATATTTCCAAGTTGTAAACTCAGGAGCATTTCTGAGCCATACTGGACAAATCCCTCCTAAGTATTATTGCACATGCCCTGTGTGATAGAAGCTGGTCAGACTGTTCGAGGACCCTTCCCAGTGCCAGGGTCCATGGCCCACATCACTGCTCCATTTCCCCCCTGCTTGCACCCAGGGAATGGGCTCAGCCAGCCGCCTACATGGGGTGCCAGGTGGTATGCGGGCTCCTTACCAACGTGGAGAAGGCTTCCAGCTCACAGCCCTGACCCTGAGAGCTGGCTCCGCATCCATTTCAAACAGGCAGCATCTGAAAGAGAAAACCAGTCTCTCTTCAAGGCCCTTAAAGTGTTCATCTTTAAAAGGGAAATTGCATTTCGCAAAGCACTGCTTGTGCATCTGACATTTGCACATCTGGAAAGCTGGGATTGCTTGATGTGGCGCTCAGTGAAATCCAGCTCTCCCTCCGCCTGCCACCCTCTCCCTTTCATGATCCTCTTCCCAGTTCCAATCCAGGATTCCCTGGGCCCTGCCCTCTGCCTCCAGCTTTCCTATCTTCCATGCATAATGCCCCATTTCCCAGCCAGGTGAACCGTTCTCCTCTGTGTATAAAAATCAGATTGCTCCTTTTGAAAAAAAATAAAAACTGGCAAACAGACAAACAGAACCCTTTCAAAGTGGAGGGCTTTGCAGTTGGTTCTTTACATGTAGAATTAGGGTGTTCCTAGAAGCCTTTTCAGGCCATCTTTTTAGGCTAGATGTAACTTGAAATCATTCACTAGTGTACTCAGCAAGCATTTGCCAAGCCCCTCTGTGTCCTGAGCACCTTGCCAGGACCTGGGGAAATCAAGCTGGCTCAGTCCACGCCCTCTGGGAGTCCACAGCCAAGTTGGAAGGAGGGTTCCGCACTAATTGCTCTGATTCATTGCATAGAATATTTTTTATTTAAAAACATCTTTCTATTTTATAAAGAAAAATGTCCATGTCATTGGACCAGAACCAAGAACCAGGTTCTTGGACAAAAGGCAAGAACTGGGTAAAAACACATGGACACATTCACACACAGACACACACACACAGAGAGAGAGAGAGAGAGAGAGTGAGTGAAAGAAAAGACTAAACATGCAGGTTTTGTTAGCAAAAGGAATGATTTACCATCAGATCAGTATTAATGATTTACACCTTTAAAATGTGCCATCCAGGGCCGGGCGCGGTGACTCAAGCCTGTAATCCCAGCACTTTGGGAGGCCGAGGGGGGTGGATCACGAGGTCAAGAGATCGAGACCATCGTGGTCAACATGGTGAAACCCCGTCTCTACTAAAAATACAAAACATTAGCTGGGCATGGTGGCGCGTGCCTGTAATCCCAGCGACTCAGGAGGCTGGGGCAGGAGAATTGCCTGAACCCAGGAGGCGGAGGTTGCAGTGAGCCGAGATCGCGCCATTGCACTCCAGCCTGGGTAACATGAGCGAAACTCCGTCTCAAAAAGAAAAGAAAAGAAAGAAAAGAAAAGAAAAGAAAAGAAAAAAAAGAAAAGAAAAGAAAAGAAAAGAAAAGAAGAAAAGAAAAGAGAAAAATAAAATGTGCCATCCAAAGACAGTGTCAATTCCAGGCAAACCCTTCATCATCTCCACAGCAGGGCTTTCAGAGCGCGCTCTGTGGGAGACTTCACTTGAACCTTCTGAACCGGCAGTGTCCAGCACCCCGCCCGGGGCCTTCCTCGCCCGCCCCGTCTGCAGAAAGCTATTCTGGGTCTCCTGAGGGTGTCCCCTGGGCTCCTCCAGGCTACAGCGCAGGAGTCCCTCTTTCTTAGGTTACAGCGAACGCAGTTCCCAAGATTTCTTTCATGCTCCAAGTTTTAAAAAAGAAACAGAAATGAAAAGGAATCGCGGCCTTTCATCCCTCGACCTGAGAGAGGCCCCTGCCGACCTGAGAGGGATCCCTGCGGACCTGAGAGGCACCTGCCATCCGGCTCCCGCCCCGCCCCGCCCCGCCCCGCCGGCCCCCTGAGCCCCCTGAGCCGCCACATTCCTGCCTGAGGCCAGCAGGGGGCAGCACTTGCCAACTGGCCACGCGGGACAGCGGGCTCTGAAGGGGCAGGAGAAGGGATGCCGGGCCAGCCGCGTGGGAAGTGACGGCCACTTGGACAGTGGAGGCAGTGCAGCTGCAGCTATGTCGCTGAATTTGAGTTTAAGGGCAATAATTCGCAGAACGATAGGATCGAGGCAGAGGGGAGTGTGAGGGAGGAGCCCCGGCCTCTGGCTTGCAGAAGCAGGTGGACAGACGCTGCACTGGAGAAGACTCT